CTGGACTTCGGGGTCTTCTGAGCTGGAGTCTCAGCCTTGGGTGAAGCGGACCTGGACTTCGGGGTCTTGGGAGACATTTTTCCAGGAGAAGTTGCTTTGGGTGATGTAGACTTTGACTTTGGAGACTTCTTAGCAGGTGAAGGAGACTTTGATTTTGGCAGCGCCTTTCCAGGTGAAGCATTCTTTTTTAAACCAGACTTAGGGGAAGGATTCCTTTGCCCCTGTGAAAAAGAACAAGATGTAAATATATGGCCTACAGCAACAACTTAAATAAACCAAACCTTTCACTCACCTTTAGCAACCCAATAGCCGAGGCTCTTCTAAGGAGGGACTGTTTTGGTTTATAAAGAGACAAGCTTCTCCTTGGAGCCGCTCCTTTGCGCAGCGGGGAGTCAGGAGGAAGGCGTTTGTCAAATAACTCGGGGCTAAGATGACCCCCAAAGGAAACGCGTTTCCTTTTCATATTTGACATAGGGAGGTCTTTTCCAAGCTCGTCGCTCTTGCGTTTTTTGGCCACTTTCACTGGGAAAGACAGAAAAACTACAGTTAATATGAATGCAAAGTGAACACCAAACTAATAATAATAATAAAAAAAAATAAACCTTTTTCAGCAGATCCTAAGTTTTTAGGAGACTTCTTCGGGGTTTTTTCCTTTTTAGATGTAATAACAGCTTGCCCTTCTGCCTTTGTGGACACAGGAGACTTTGATGTCGTAGCTGTAATTTGTTCAATAGCCTCTGCGGCTGTGAACCTCTGAGGAGTTACAATGCGTCTCAGCTTTGAAGCAGATCCAGACTTTGAATCTTCTTGCACTATGTGTCCAGACCCCTCAAAGGAAGGAGACTGGAAGATCTTCCCCAACTTCTTGACAGATTCAGGCATTTTAGCAACTTTAGCTGTTGGATCTGCTGGGAGTTTAACTTCTTTCTGGGGAGTACCAACTGGCCCCGGTCTTGGGGTATAAAACTTAGAAGACGGTGTCTGGGCAGCACTGACAGAAGACTTCTGAGGGGTCTTGAGATCCAGAGATTTTTTGGCCATTTGACACAGCTCACCGAATGGTGAGTTTGTTCCATCTTTCTGGGACTCCATTTCCAATGTTTTCTCCAAAGATCGCTGTATGTTGTCATAGTTGGCTCCATCTTTAAGATGAGGGCCTTAAAAAAATAAATAAATAACAAAAGAAGCATTAAACACCTTAAAATTAAGTTTATTTTTGCCTCAATTTACCGGTACCAAATAAAAGTATCAAAGATGATCTGCATTAAAAAGTGAATTAATGTTTTTTCCATACCAAATATGATCATTTTATTTTTTCTGCTCTTTGTTTCATGAAACAAGTCAGAAATGTCAGGTATGACTTTAAAAAGCTTGTTTCTATTTCAGTAATCCCTTTTGGAAGTTAACGAAATGTTTATATCTAGCCGTTTTACTTAAAGAGCCTGTTTAGTTTAGGGTAGATGCAGAAACACAAGGTGATGTGTTTAAGTCATTCTGAGCCAAGAATACCCAACGAAAATATTGGAATAAAAGAAATTTTGCAGATTTAAATTTTTCAAAATCTACTCTTAGGCACCAGCTTATCTCAAATAAAAATGTTTTAAAAACTTGCTTAGTCACTTTTTGTAATTATTCTACAACATATAAATCTGCTGATTCCAGGCTTTTAGCTAGCCACATGTACAGCAGTACCCTGTACAGACTTTTATAAAAAAAAAAAAAAAAAGGGAGACATTGTACAGCCCGTCTCCTGTCCCCCCACGGAAACTTTGCTCAAATGTTGAAAATGTTCAGATCCGGTCTTCACCGTGTCGCCATGTTGCATCCCCCTCATAATCTCGCGATTAACTGGCATCTCGCCAGAGTCGCATTCCTATTGGTCATACGTTGGCGTGACGCAGCGCAGAGAGGCGCTGTTTGCAAACAGTTAAGCTTGAAACTTTAAAAAGTTTATGAAAAATCATCGAAGGCCTGGAGGTTCTTTTGGACAGCACTGTCTGTTAGTGATGGGTTCATGAGGCATCATTAAGTGTCACTGTTGATACTGTGTCACTAAATACTGACACCTGCTGGACATTTATAATTCCTACAGGCAGCCTCTTTCACAGACTGACCTGATACAAATTTGATGACCTATAATATGATTTAAGCAATTGTTTGCTATAAAATAGCATTTCATATCTACAGTTTGAAGTGAAAATATGTTTGATATTTTTTAGAAATAATTCATAAAAGTGAACATACAACAGGAAAGATTTAAGTGTACTTGTGAATAAGGATGTTTGTGGACAACAGGGTTTATACAGTAAGGAGGAACTCTAATTTAATGCTTTTTAATGCTCTTAGAAATTATTTTAATGCCATCAATAAGCAACAAGCACAACATAAGTGGCTGGAAAATGAGAATTTTGGACATGGCTGCAGTCTGTCGATGGTAAAGATTACAAAGGATTTGGCCATGTTTATTTATATATATATATATATATATATATATATATATATATAAATATAAATAATATATATATTCTCTTTTTCCAGCCACTTATGTTAAAATGATCATTTTCTCATTCTCTAGCTTTTTCTGTGCCTGGAGTTTCTGTTGCAAACATATGGCTTTAGGATCAACCAGAAGCAGTTCCACGCAAACATGTGGAACCAGTTAAATTGTTTATAAAGCATTTTAAATGCCATGATAATCACAGTTAATTAATTTTAATGCCAATTAAGGCCTTAATTTAAAAAATTTTAATTTAATGACCTTTAATGGTTTTTAATGACATGCAGAAACCTTGGAAAAGGATTTATTAAAAAATTTTTTTAACATAACTGAGAAGATGTTTGTGAATTTGGGGGAAATTAAGAAAGGATAAAGGGGAGAACCACAGAGACAGCAATCTCCAGCTTCTTCAAAAACAATCCAAGAGTGAAATTAAAGTTGAACTAGATACTATTTTATGCGATTGAAAGAGTTAAATTCAAACTCTGTCAGTTAATTATTACACGCCCAGCAGGGAGTTTAGCCCAAATCAGCCGCCCCACGCCTGTTGTTCCCTATGAGGAAGGACAATTGTCATTTAACCCTACGTAGCTCACGCCTCCGCACCATGCAAAGCCTGCAGTTATGGTACACCAAGGTGTACACCCTATGAAATATTCCTAAATAAAAGCACAGCTTCTTCCCATCATGTTCAGAAATAAAACATCTTCAACAAAAAAACAGAAGGGGTCCAGTTGGCTTCATCCTGGATGACTGAAGGCTAGAACCCTACAGAAAATTGTGTCAGTCGAAGTCGTGGCGTTTAGCGCTCATTGAAAGTCTATGGGGATGATCACACCCGATATGAATTACTGCGGGGCGCTGCCTAGCTCTGACTGAACCCAGGTCCATTTTAGTCGGACTACGGAGCAGTTACACGGCAATTCATGGGTCTGACAGGAAGAGAGAAACGGTTATAAAGTAAAACACAACCGCTTTCGGGGGAATACATGGGATTAAAAAAAGAAAGAAAAACTCACTATCTGTTCTGGTTTGCAATGCTGCACAGACTCGTTAGGTGGGGCTTTACTTTATAGAAGGCACCAGTTTATATCGTAACTTTTCATAATCTGTCCAAGAAAATGTGGGAATTTGTTTAAATCTATGTATCGCACAGAGACAGAAGGGAAAAAATCTGATCGTTTCCAAGTACAGAGACGTTTAATTTACTCTATAAACCCTGGAACTCAACGCTATTTCCGACATTTAGAATTAAAAAGCTTCAGGATTGGAAAGCGAAACGTCCTCAAACTTGGAAACAAAGTCCAGTGGATTGTTTTTTTTTTTTAAGGTTTTTGGAATGACTGTGACCTGGATGACTCAGAATCTTCACCATCAATGTAGAAAGACCACCTGAAAAGTTACCTGTAGAAATCCTTTTTTGTCCCCCATCAGCTGCGACACTGTCGGATCTCTGCTGATCTCGAAGAACCTAAACAAAAGTTTCATCATTAGAACATAACTTGTTTAAAATGTCTTTACTGCAGGATAATGTTGCCTATAAATGGCTAAATTACCTTAAGAGTTTCAGACTTGGGTCCAGGAGTAGCCCTCTTCCTTGGCGTTGCTGTGTGCGCGTACTCGAACCTGAAACATGGTTAAAATGTCCGAAAATACATAAATACAGCATGAAGATATTAAGTCCTGCATTTCCACAGAGATACACACTAGAAGAGAATTTGGTTGCCAATCACATATTTCTAATGCATCAGAGAATCCTTTTTGTTTGTAAATAACCACTGCTGCTTTAGTCATGGGATAATAAATCCCTGAAACAAAAAGGTTGCAATATTGATGAAGAGGCTTCATTTACCGCTTACCTGAAAGAACGGTCAACAATTGTTATCATATCGCCATGCTTCAAGCGTTCTGACTGATGCAGAGTCTCTCCGTTGATGCGTGTCGGATTGACTGAGCTCAGATTGGTCAAAATAATCTGGGGAAGACCAACAACAATCTTGTTAACAGGCAGCTGAAGCATCGAACATGTGATAAATACCTGGTCTATATGTTTGCATGGGAAGTTACCTCTTTATTTTCATTTAAGTCGATTCTGCAGTGTTCCTTCGAAACCTCAGGAACCTGGATACGAATGTCACATTCAGGCTTCCTGTAGGATCAGCAGGAAACATGTCAAACATTGAGAGAATGTCTTCATGCTGGAGTGCAAAAAAGAACCATTTAAAATCCCTCTTTTTAAATTAAAGATTTACTCTATCACATAAAGCTGATTGTATATTTGTTGAACACAATTATAGGGAGAAAATAAGTTTTTTCCAGAACTTGGACTCAAATATAAATACAGAAATCTCTTTGATTTAGAGATGATGTCAGCAGTACAGAGATTTAAAAAGGTAGCTTCCTAAAAACAGAAACAGATGAGAGGCTGAACAGATTTACAGCATATTGGATCAAAGATGAATGGAAAGAGGAAGTGGACAGATGATGAACAGCTGGATGGTTGATCATATGAGAAATGGTTGGGTGATGAACACAGAGATAAACAGGCTGGCAGGTTTGGGTTTGGGATAAAAGGAAGGATGTGTGAGAACTTTACAGAAAAATATACAGAATAAAGTCTAATAATCAATCATTTACCCAGACTCATCATGGTTTTCACCCTTTTATGAGAACATATGTTGCAGTTTCATTTAGGAAAAAACATAAAACAAAGAATTAAAGATGTTTCTTCTTTGTTACCTTCCAAACAAGCAAGATGCAGTCAGAGGAAACTCTGTCCCATCAGCTCCGCTCCTCTTAATAACCACTATTTTTCCATGCAAAGGCATTTTCCCAAAGTTACCTGAGGATTTTAAAGAAAAGTTTGTCAGAAAGGTGAAGATGTGATCAGCCTCTTTAAGCATAATTCAGCCAAAGGAAGCTGCTGTAACACAGACCCGCGTTAAAAAAAAAAAAAAAAAAAAACACAGTGCGAATCAATTCCCACGTGCCATGTGGACAAAAGTGAGGTTTTGTGGCCTTAAGCTAGCGATAAGATCCAGATATAGATATGCTAATAATGATAAGAGACAATATATTTCCATGCCCGCACAGATATCAGTAACATTTTGTAAAATAGTACCGAGTTAAAGGTGTCTAACTTTTCTCAGAAATCACACAGCAGCAGAAAAAAATAACACAAATTACCGGTACACGTCTTACCTGAAGCTCCGTTTAAAAATCCCTCCGACTTCCTTCTATCCATAAACATAAAACAGCCTAAAAGTACAAAATCTTAACTTTAAAATGGCATCATAATCAGACAAACTGCAGGACTAACCATCCGACCCGACGACTCTTTAACGTAAACTATAGCGCTCAGAGCTCCGCTCTGTGTGCTCTTCCGCAATGGTGCTGCTGTATCCCTCCGCACATGTACACGACCGCAGAAACGCAGAAACAAATCCCCGTTAACTCAATGTTGTTTGGATATCATTCTACGTTTTCTATATTGTTGTAATTTAACAGTGTGCTATTTTTCATGGCGACGATCTAATATTAACACTGGGTTCATTCGAGGAACTATTTTGTTTACAAATTTGGCGGAGCGATCTCACTCCAAGGAAAGAAATGTAATTTGAAAATATTTGAAATACCGCGCGAAGGATTCCTATTGGCGCAAAGGCAAGAGGGCGGGGCCTAATTACAACACATTGAACTTGGTTGTATGCATTTTAGTCTTTCTCGTTTTTGTCATATATATATATATATATATATATATATATATATATATATATATATATATATATATATATATATATATATATATACATATATAATTCTGTTTTGTTCAGCAGCATTTATTTAAACTCTTGAAATGCTGGGAACAGTTAGGTGCAATACATGGGATCTTAAGTTAGAACTTCAATAACCTTCCTAAATTATAGGCTATTCTGGAATTCTTTTTCTTTAACAATTTCCTACATATGGACCTCCATATGAATAAACCATAAATATTACATAACCCTTTAAACACACACTGGCACATTTGAAAAACGTCTATCTGAGACGGAAACACCTTCGCCTTCTGGAGAAATTACAGTCGAACCCAGCCCTGCCATCTACTGACCAAAACATGCAAGTACATCAGAACGCCTAATATAGGGTCCGAGGAAAAATACTGGAATATGTTTCTCACTGGAACCCACAAATGATGTAAAATAAAAAAGAATAAATACAGTTTTGAGCATCAAATCAATTTTCTTCGTTTATTTCTTTGTGAGCTGACAGATTTAACTGCATAAATTTAATAGATAAAACACTTGACCAGTCCTGACAATCACTTTTAACACGTTTAAACTGTTCGTGTTGATTTGGTCTGTGCTTATTTATAAATTAGAATATAATCAGTAAATCAATCTGATTGTTTATTCAATAAAAAGTGAAACTCCTATTATTTTCAAAAATATTGACAAATTTCACATGTTTATTGCCGTTGATTATGTACCATAAAGTGTGTGCACTCAGTTCTTGGCTGGAGCATATTTTACAAACATTTCTGCATCAATATGATGTGAAATGGAGGTAACCCTGCTCTGACACTGCTGTGGTGTACATGAAGCCCAGGTTGTTTCACAACAGCTGAAGGATGCATTGTTTGCTCTGGTGTCTTTGTTTGCATCTTGAAAATACGTCTAGATGCTCTTTGTGGTTTAAAGAAGGTATTGGTACTTTCTGCAATTTGTAGTCCTGCAGAAAAAAACAACAAATTAATCTCTTAATTAAGCTGTTTTTAGATAGACACATATATTCTAGAATTGCGTTGCTTAAGGTGGCTGCATGTTGGAGAGATTGACTCTGATATTCTTTTTAAAGAGAACTTTAATTCTTCCATTTTTGGGTCAGAGTATCTTTTTTCTGATGTTTTTCATCCCTGTTGATGAATGCTGGGAAACTGGAGGGTTTTTCGCTGATATTTTTTTTCCTTTTTGGATGCATGTTTTGATGTGTAACCACAGCAACCCAAGGAAGTTGATTTTTTAAACCCGGGAGCATCTCTTTAACATCTCTAAAGCTGAAATAATACCTGAACTTCTTCCACAAGTTCCAGCTGAGTTGAAAAGGGGGGCACCAGGGATACAGAGCAGGTACAATGAGACGAGAGAGGAACAATAAATATAAGCTATCTCTTCCATCAATCATGGGCATTGCAAGATCTTTAGGAAACAAGTTAGAAGAACGCAGAAAGAATATCAGCAATGCAGCATTATGTGTCTTACTGAAACATGGCTGCAGGACCATATCTTTGACGCAAGCGTCTCTCTGCCATGCTCTCTGACCATATAATCAGACCAAGATTTAAAGAAGACTGGGAAATTCAAATAGGCAGTGCTTATGAACAACAGGTGGTGTCATCCAGGACATGTTACTGTAGTAGTCACAAAGCAGGTTTACTGCAAAATCTAAGTTCTCTAAACCTGAAAAAAGGGAATTTCCCGTTTCACAAAGAGTTTCCTCAACCTCTGTTTCAGTCACCGTAGCAACATTATCCCCAGAGCTAACCTGGTCGGTAGCAGGTTTTCTTCAGTAAACTCCGAGTGTCTTCTCTCCCTGCTCTCCATACAGCCAATCACTGTTTTATTTCCTGATTTAGTACGACTTTTTTCGAATTTTTGTGCATAAAAAAAAATCAATAGGTCCATTAAATGCACGAGGTTTTAAAAACCAACATTGCACTTTCCTTTTTGATAAAGCTTATAGTTAGAGTGGCTCAGGTTATCCTGAGCTATCTCTATTGTTATGCTGCTATAGGCTTAGACTGCTGGAGGACATAGGGACCTCTTTTTCCTCATTCTGCTTCATACCAATAAATACAAAAAAAAGTAAAACAATCCACTGGACTTGGTTTCCAAGTTTGAAGACATTTCGCTTCCCATCCAGGAAGCTTTTTTAATTCAAAATCTCAGTAATAGCGTTGAATTCGAGGTTTTATACACTAGCCCAACAAAGCCCTGTTTTTGTTTTGAAAACAAGCAAATTGAAACAGACGAAGCGGTCCACCCATTTGGGGGCTTCTTTTGTTAGACTGAAATACCCCATACCCATCTAACTGTCTGAAAGGTCGGTCGTTAAAGGGGATTTTTGGGTAGGCTGAATAGACGAGGTCCTCAACTCTCCTGTACACGGGGTGGGGCTGCGAATGGGAAGGCATTAACTCAATAGCTGCATTGTAAGTTTTTGAAAGCTAGAACCTGAGACCACCCCCTCTGTGTAAAGTTGTTTATTCTTTCTTAACATAGCTTCCTTCACGCCCCTCTCAATCCACCTATTTCTTTATCCAAAATGTGAACATTCTGGTCCTCAAAAGAATGTCCTTTGTCAATAATGTGTAGATATAGCGTAGAGTCTTGTCCAGAGGAGGTTGCTCTTCTGTGTTGGGCCATGCGTTTGTGGAGAGGTTGTTTGGTTTTTCCAAACAGTCTAACAAAAGAAGCCAAATGACCCCCACTCCAAATGGATGGACCCCTTCGTCTGTTCCACTTTGCATGTTTTCAAATCAAAAACAAGGCTTTGTTTGGCTGCTGCATAAAACCTCAAACTCAACGCTATTCCTGACATTCTGAATTGAAAAAGCTTCCTGGATGAGAAGCGAAACATCTTCAAACTTGGAAACCAAGTTCAGTGGATTTAATAATTTTTGTTTTTGGAATGACTATGACCTGGATGACTGAGGATCTTCACCATTATTCTGCTTCATTCTCTCTCTATTCTCCCACTCTGCAAAATGTGTTAGTTCAATCTCTAACATTCTGCTCTCTCTGCTTTTTGTCAGAGTTGCTTCACCTCATCTGTTCCCGTTTGGCTGTGACACCATCTTGGAGAGAAACATCAGCCGTGCTGCTGCCATCAACACCTTTATTTATAGATGTATGAGTGCAGCCTGTTTTTCAGTGTAGTCCTGTTTCTCTGACTGTGACTAACTGATGTACTCTCTTCATCCTCTGACATAGGAGTTGGTTTGGAGCTCGTCTGGCTGGGTGTGTGTTTCCTGGACAGGGCCACCTGTGGAGCTGGTTGACAGTTGCCTTTGTCTCCTTGAACCCCAGTCGGCCTCAGCAGATGGCGGCTCACACTGAGTGTAGTTCTGCTGGAGGTTTCTTCCTTTTAATCAATTTGACTGTATGATCTTGTTGAATTGTAAAGTGCTCTGAGATGACATGTGTTGTGAAATGGAGCCTTAGAAATAAACTGAATTAATTTTAATTAAACAACAAGAGAGTCTCTTCAGTAAGAGGCTCCTCCAGATCCGGTGCAAGAAAGACTGATACAGAAGATCCTCCCTGCCTACAGCTATCAACACCTGGTTAAAATAATTACCAATGAGTTACTGCAACATTTAATTCCCCTTTGGGATTAATGAAGTATTGGAATTGAATTTGAATATCCAGCGGCTTCAGACCTGATGAAGGAAAGTGCATTGCAACTGAAAAGCTAAATTTGGAGTACTGACATACGTCACTGTCCCATTTTTACTTCTCAGCCCAGGTAAGGCACTTTTGACACTGTGTTTCTATCTCTATAGTTATGCTGCTATAGGTTTAGACTTCTGGAGGACATAGGGACCCCCATTTCATCATTCTGCTTCATTCTATCTCTATTCTCCTACTCTGCAGAATCTGTTAGGTCAATCTCTAACGTTCTGCTCTCTCTGCTTTTTCTCAGAGTAGCTTCATCTGGTCTGTTCCTGTTTGGCTGTGACTCCATCCTGGAGAGAAATATCCGCTGTCCTGCTGCCATCAACCCCTTTGTTTATAGATGTTGGCCTGTTTTCCAGTGTGGTCCTGTTTCTCTGACTGTGACTGGCTGGATGTGCTCTCTTCATCCTCTGACATGGGAGCTGGCTCGGAGCTCGTCTGCCTGACTGTGTGTTTCCTGGACGGGGACGCCTTTTACAGCTGCTTTTTGTGTCTCTGCTTCTGTCTCCTTGAACCCCAGTGGGCCTCGGCAGATGGCCGCTCACACTGAGCCTGGTTCTGCTGGAGGTTTCTTCCTGTTAAAAGGGAGTTTTTCCTCTCCACTGTCGCTACAAGCATGCTTAGTGTGAGGGATTGTATTTGAGTCAATGTGTCGATGCAATCAACTGGTTTTCCTTAGATAGAAAACTTTGAATCAATCTGACTGGATGATCTGGTGAACTGTAAAGTGCCTTGAGATGACATGTTGTGAATTGGCGCTATAGAAATAAACTGAATTGAATTGTTTAGTTCAGATGGTTCAACATAAAGAATGTGTGATATGTCGCTCATATCCATGGGTCTGTCTGTGCGTGGATTTCTTGAATCTTTTCAAAGATTAGCTGGTGTTTGGGCATATCTCTACTAAACTTCTTCCATCCACTCAACTTTCCTGAACAACTGATTGATCTGAACAATTCGGAACATTTTCTGAGAAACTAAATTGCTGTATTTTATTATCTGTGAACCATATTAAAAATAAAAACAAAGACATTCAATTATTAAATGTTGCTTTTATTTTTTGTCTTTTTTTTTCCAAAGTTCCTTGATAATCTTCACAAAACTGCAACGTATTCCATACTTCTCAAGCTGACGGTGTCTCTCGCTGTTCCAGATTATCTGTGGAGGAGGGTGTGTGTGGGGGGAGGGGTTGTGCGCTGTTCTGGACAGAGTCCTGAAAGGATGAAAGCAGCTATATTTTTTTTTATTTACCAGACAAATAAAAAAAAAATGTTTTGGAGAGATCCACATTGGCAATGCTGCAAGGTTCAGGGTCAGAGTCTCTGCAGGAGTCCTGGTGCGCCAGGCTTTGACATATAGAGGGGGACTGGAGGAAACCTTCCGGGGGCTCAGTAGCAGAACTGGGAACACATGTGCATTTGTGATTGGAGGCTTTAAGGGTTGCATCACAGAACATATACAGACAACAGGCCGAGCACACGGAAATGATTCCTTCCTGAGACAATTGGTGCGTTACAGTAATGATGGTCCAGATGACAGGTGTTAATAAAGGTGAAGGCGTTTCGGTGTAAAGTGAGTCACAGGGCTTCTGGCTCCTCTGGATCCGTCACACGTTGCTGCTTACTGTTGAACCTTCACTGACAGGCACCAAAAAAGAAGACGGCTACAATCAAGTCCTGTCCCAGCCGACTCAAACCGATTCATTCAGAGAGTACCGAGAACAACAAGTGTTTAATACAGAGCATATGCACCATCCCTCACACTAAACCTCTCTTTAAAGCTGAGCTGTTGTGAGCTAAATGAGCCGTCCAGGCTGCACACGGCCTCTTATCACCATTTTCTTTTTTTTATCTTCCTACCAAAAGGTGAAAAAACAAAAGCTGTGCTTCAACAGGAGTGTTTATTATCAGGACTACAGGCATGGGCCGGGTACTGCTATCAGTGTTTGCCAAGATTTGAAAAATGATGAGTGGAAGCAAACGCAGTGTTTTCTGAATGAGTCAGAACCTTAAAACAAACAGACATGTCCAGACGGGTTATTGGAGGCAGGTTTTAAAAAGGATCCCCAGAGGAACCAGTTTGTTGACCAGAAAATTAAAGTGTATATTTGGGGTGTGTCGCCCTTTATGCTTCAGAACAACTTCAACTTTCCCCATCATAGCTTTTAATTAGATGCCAGAGAGGGCTAGCATGGTTGGAGTTCTTTCCCCCGGCCTGCTGGGTCGGTGCACTGCCAGTCAGCTGGCTGAAAGAATGTTGTTACACTTTTACCCCACAAAACAAAACAAAAAACCCACCAATAATTCAGCTTAAAACTATTGATTTTAACAGCTTGTTTCTTCTGTCTAAAAGTAATGTTAACGTTTAAGGAGGATTCCAGCTGGATAAAAAACTGGAATCTGATTCAGGATCTGTGGGGGGAGCTACAGATTAGGGTGATGGGAAGGAGGCCTTCCAACCTCAAAGATAAACCATCAAATAAATAACATGCAAAGAATTACTCAGCTATGATAAGAAGGGTTTATTTTTTTGATTACTGGAATAAATAACTTTCCACATGCTTTATTCACTGCAAAAAATTTTTGCTCAAATTAAGTGCATTTTTTCTTGAATTGAGGAGGTAAGTGAGACACTTTGCAGATGGAACAAGACAATTTACATTTAAAATAAGAAAAAAACTATTGCTTTGTCTTATTTCAAGTGTATATTATCTAATTATCTTATTTTAGGAGTAAAAATACTCATTCCATTGGCAGATCATCTTATTTACCTGCTCAAATTAAGGGTAAATACACTTAATTTAAGACATTTTTTACTTATTTCTAGATGTTTTTTTGCAGTGTTGTAATTTATATTAACACAAATGCTTTTCTCCTGGTTTTATACGAATACCTTTTAAATTATGGATCTTTTTCTATATAAAAATGGACTGAATGAAAATAGTTTGAAATATAAATCAGGTGTGTGAATAACTTGGGTTTTACCGTCGTCTTGGAAACCAAAATAAACTTTTACATCGATTAGGGATCGACTGGCCGATATTTTTAGCAGATATTAGCATTGTTTTTTACTTATACCGGAATCTGCTGATGGTTGCATTCGTCTGGCGATTCATTTCCTGCATTAAGCAGCCGTTGTTCTGTTTTTATTCTTCTGTTAATTTCAAATTTTAAGTCATTTTTATCATTTTGAGGAAGAAGAATCAACATTAGGTTAAAGAATCAGACCAAAATAAGAATCAGCAGCCCATATCAGTGATTATTTAGGCTGATGTCACAATAATTGGTATCAGCATTGGCCTTAAAAAAATATCTGTACCGGTGGATCTCTGATATCGATGGTGAAGGTCTCATTCTTGTATTATTATTATGAATTTAAGAAAAACAAATGTTTTAAAATCATAAATACTACAGATATGTAATAAAGAATGTCGTTTGTTCTCGTTAAAAACTCGTTTCCATTCTGTGGGATTTAAAATCAAGCAAATATGACAATTTTCTTCTTCATTTGTGTTTTTATTACAATTTTCCTTATTCTGAAATCAAATAGTCAGAAAGTGAGGCATTTATTTACTCTTACTGAGAGAAATGCAAACCGGCCCATGCCTAGTTATCATAGAGTAAAGACACAGCTTTGAATTTAAAGGGGCGGGAGTCGGACGTGTGTGCGAAGGTCACATTCTGAACAGCCAGTGATCGGTGAAGGGCTCGTCCAACACTTTTAGCAGGACATAAAACATGAAAGAACTTCCTTCAGTAAAAATGTGCTCAAAAATGTATTTTTTCTTGAACCACATAAACTAGAACAAAACACAGGATTTCAATAAAAAAAAAACAAAAAAAAAACAAAAAAATAAGGTGAGGCCTAAAACTCTTCATAGTTTTAAAGAAATGAATACAGCTTATTTACACAAACTCAAAGCCACTTAAAATACACCTCAATAATGACTCTTCATTAATTTGATTTCTTGAGAGGACCTGTGACGATATCATACAGCCAAGTTCATACAATCAGTTTTCTTTTCATTCTCTTGGAGGAAAAAGCGGAACAAAAACAAAAAAAACAGAACAGAAGAAGCGAGGATTAAAGGGAAAAGAAATCCATCCTGGAATATTAGGTGATATTCAACGTTTCCTGTGAACATTTGTGTACGACTCGAGAGAAATGTCAACATCATTTTTTTTTTTCTTTTTTGTTATTCATTATAATATACAAAGGTGAAACTGAAAGTCTCTCATTAATCTTTGATAGGTATGAAAGAGATTCGAACAGTGACGGAGTCCCAATCTCAGCGCGGTAAACTTGTCCTGGTCTCAGCCTGGCCGTTTTTCTCCCGGACACGCCAACCACCTTAGTTCTGTAACTCTTTTATATATATTTATATATCTTTTGTACAAAATCTGGTTGTTTTTCTTTGAAAATGAAAACAAAACAAAAAAAAAAAATGCGGAAAGAACCCAAGTCTTTAGAGGAGGAGGGTTTTCCGATGAGCTCCGCTGTCGCAGCTTGTCTCAGAGAAACGAGGACAAAGTGTCTGCTGTGTGTGAGAGTCAGTCATGGTCCGTGTCTCCGTCCCGCCGCGCCGCCCTCGCTCGCTCCAAACAGCCGCTGCGTCCAGACCCGTTTCCGTCCTTTTTAAGGGAAGGTGGAGAGAGGAGAGGGGATAGGAGGGAGGTGGAGGAGTCATCAGCGGGGTTTACGGCGCGGCTCCTGGCGGCCCCCTTCCAGCCTCGCCCCACCCCCCTCCCGCGTGGAGAGCGTTCCTTAGTGACGGAGGCCTTCGGAGTAAAGGAGGCGGCTCTGCCAGTCTCCTGTGATCATCAGTTAGGATCAAAGCCCGCCTCCTTCGCCCCCACATTCTGTTCAGAACCACGTGGGAGGAGACCATATGACGAGGGAAAAAAACACTTAAAAAAGGAGAGAGCGGTTACTACGGCGACTGGGTGGCGGGACTGCTTTGGGCCGAGCTGGGGGACAAACTGGGACTGCAGCTGCCTGGGGGGGCTCCGCTGGGCCTGCTGCCTGCAGCTCCGCTCTCCAGTCCCTCCGAGTTCTCCAGCATCTCCTGGATGAGAGGCGGCATGGATCCAGGGATCTCCATCTTCAGTGTGATGACGCGCTCGGCCCCTGCAGACGGACAAACACAACGTTTTACTCATTTTATTCACTCCTTCTCTTGTATGATAAAGATGGATCCAATCCTGATCTGGAATCAGCTCAGAGGTTCGGATCAAGGCTCACTTTTCCTGACCTCAATGAAAAATTTTAATTCCACTCTTTTAAACCCATATGAGCCACTTTTATTCAAGCTAACTTTTATAATCCCTGCCCCCTTTTTCTGCGCAGCAAAACAGTGCAGGAACAGGTCTGGTTCTGCTGGAGGTTTCTTCCTGTTAAAAGGGAGTTTTTCCTCTCCACTGTCGCTACAAGCATGCTTAGTGTGAGGGATTGTTTTTGAGTCAATGAGTCGATGCAATCAACTGGTTTTCCTTACATAGAAAACTTTGAATCAATTTGACTGGATGATCTGGTGAACTGAAAAATGCCTTGAGATGATTGTTGAGAACTGATGCTATATAAATAAACTGAAAAAATAAACCGCAAAAACTTTCTAAAAAGTTGTAAGTAAGTAACTAAGTATTTAACCTTAATTTGAGTAGGTATATAAGACGATCTGCCACCAGAAAGGGTATTTCTACACTTAAAATAAGATAATTAGATATTATTGACCTGAAATAAGAAAATTCTGTTGTGTTTTTTATTTCAAATGTAAATTGTCTTGTTAAATTGGCAAAGAGTCTCACTTCCCTGCTTACTTAAAGAAAAAAAGCACTTATTTTAAGAAAAATTGACTTAGATTAACATTTTTTTGCAGAGGAGCTGAAACAGCAGCCATGGAGTTATATGAAAATATTAACACTAAGAGGCAGTTATATGTTTGTAGGGCTGAGACTTAAACATGTTAAACGAGAAAGATTTAATGCTTAAAAAAAAATGACACCATTAAGGACAGATTTTTTTTATATCAGGAGCCTTCAGAGACGCCGTTTCTTGTTTAAATCTGACGCTCAAACGGCAACACAACCTTCTGTTCAGACTTCTAAGGAATCATTTTTCAAAGAAGTTGCATCAAATTTAGGGGCTTCTAAGTAAAAATCTAAATGAGTATAAATTCCAAACCATCTGATGGTTAAATAACCTCAATAATGGATTAAAAACCATAAATATTTCTGTCTCTAAGCTCATTGGTTTATTCAACCATTTAGGAGCAAAAACAGATTCTAAAAGGTTCTTTATTTTGTTGATTTTGTTGTTTTGGATTTACAAGATTCGTTTAATTTTACATTCTATTATTATTATTATTTTAATTACTTTTTGTTCACAGAATGAAAGTTGAAGATGAAAATTTAACCCAATTTCTGTGCATAGAAATGTGTCCTTTAAAGATAGATTTTTGAACTTATTTTGTATCATTTTAGGTGAAAGCTTTGTTTTAAATTTGTACTCAAGTATAATGTAAAACCTGTACTTTTTTACTTTTACTTAAAAGGTGTTTAATCCTCACAAGATTTACTAACTCCAAGAGTCAATTTTTTGGGAAAAATACTGGAATTTCTGTACCTTTATGTGTCAAGTCAGATAAGCGTTTCACCAAATAGCTGTTCCTAATTAATTGGAAACAAAGAAATAAGCGATGAAGAACGAACCTTTAGCGCTGATGCTTCTCAGGTCAGTAATCTTCATCAGCATCTTGGGGAACATGTGAGGTTTGTGGGGCCTCCGTTTCCGTACATAAATCTTCAGGGCCTCCAGAAGGGGCTCCTGCAGGATGTCCACTTTGTCAGCTTCTTCTAAATCTTGCCGATCTAAAAAAAAAACAAAACAAAAAAAAGGGACGTTTAATGAGATAAAATAAGATAAAACAGCTGTTAGAAAATATTTCATGTTTGATTTTGATGTGTCAATCAATCAATCTTGCATTTTTATACAGAATTTGCTCATAAACATTTGCAACAATCTTTACATTACTGAATAAAAATTAGCAAATCCACCTGCAATCTTTACGTGCTCCATTAGAGGGCAGTATAGCGGAAGATACAGCAGGCTTTTGAGGAAAAACTGCAGGCCTAAAACATGCCTATCATAAGTATTTGCTCACTTAGGGTTGAGAGGGGTGTCATACCTCCACACAGCAAGCAGATGGCGCTAAGAAGCCCCGTTTCTGCATCATCCATCTCCAGAGGCAGGAGCTGGTTGGCGAAGGCAAAAACCAGGTCTGTGAGGGGACCAAAGCCGGCGTTATGCATCTGGGTTCGGTTTAGCGTGAGTCCATCTGAGAAGGTCATGGTATCTTGCTCCGGCGTGTAACGAGTACAGATCCGCAGTATCTGGAAGGAAGGAAGATTTAAAAATATAACCTGATATCAAACGACTGAATTTGGATGAAGGATTGAGCGGCTCTTCGTACCAGAATATCCAGACAGGCAGCTTTGAGCAGGGTGATCTGGTCCGCGATGGTGAGCGTGGTGAAACCCGGCAGCTGCTTGGCAAACTCCACCGTCTTTATGATGCACTTGGTGGACAGTTCGCTGAACTTGTCCCACAGGTCGATGTCCAAGGAGACGCGCCTTTCCGAGCTGTTAGTCTGTGAAGACATGGACGGGTCAGACGACAGCGGCCGACAACAGAAAACGAATCGGCGTGTATTTTTGAAGCCACTGACCGTAGTGTATTTGCCCAGCTGGCAGAGAGAGGGGAAAGTGTCCTGATGCGCCTTGCGAACCCTGTCGATCATCTGCTCCGTGTCTGGACTCAGCACGTAGCTCTCTGTGCACTCCTGCTTCTTCTCATCCTTCTTCTTCTTGTTCCGGTCGTTCCTCACAGCTACAGAGAGCGGAGAAAACACAAGGAGTTAAACCGCTGGACAAAACATTTACAGCGACTCGCAAACCAAGTCTGATTCTAAGAACCTTTTCTCGTTTTTAAAGCTTAACTACAAATCAGCATCTGTTTTATTGCTGAAAAACTCACTCCCAAAAGTTTTTACATAGAAAATCTGAGCAGCAAGAATTTTTTTTCAGCCCAAGTTATGACCGACACGATTAATCGATTATGGACAGAATTGTCACCTAATTTAGTAATTGAATAACAGTTAAAGACAAAACCCACTCGGAGCACTACTTAAGCAAAAACCAAGACAAATATATAAAAATGTTGAGTTTAAAAAGAACAACTAATGTTTAATAAGTTCTATCCAGAAGTCCTTAAGCAAAGTAGTTTTAGTTTAAATTCTGAATAAAATCTTCTTTAAATAACCTTTTTCTATGTGACTATTAATGGATTTATCGAAAAAATAATCGATTTGCTAAATAATTGTTAGCTGCATGAGCCCTGATGACCTGGTAACACCTTCCACTGCAATTCCAACCTTAAAGTCCACATTTCATGACTTATTTAGAATTATGACCAGCTCAAATCTATTAAAAAACACTCCCACAGCATAATACTGACACCTCTGTGTCCTACAGGAACATATGCATTGTTAGGTTTCCACCACAGAGTTTGTTTATTCAACTTGACTTTACTTGGAGGTTTTAGAGGAAATGCCAAACTAATCTCTCAGTTTTTACATTTAGAAAGTTTTTAAAGATGTTTCATTTATCTCTGATAAAGAAGTTTTTTTCATCTGCACAATATACTGATTCTGTTTGCTTTAATGCAATCTCCATCAACTTAGAGGCAGGAATTGAGAAATCCAACCCCTTTTTTTGTGCAGCGGCGGCAGAAAGGCCTCCTTTTGTTTTCAGAGGCTGAAAGACAAATGTTGTGAGACAGCTGCATCCAGGAATGGCTGTGGTAATGGTGTGAGGAGAGGGAATAAGATTTGACATAATCCACTGTTGTTTCCCTCTGGGCGATCTGGCTGAGAGCATGATCACCCCAAATGACAGAAAACACAGGGCGGGTGTTTAGCATTGGAATCCCATTACATACCCGATCCATATCTCCCAGCCTATCCACACCGGCTCTGATTACGTCCTGGAAAAACGTGTGTGTGTAGATTGGATGAGATGGGGTGCCGGTTGATGAATAGTAGTGGGGGATGAAGCTATCCATAAGGCTGACGAATTGCCACAACTTTCATTAGGGGTACCAGCTAATGTAATAACATAATATGACAAATATCCAGCCTCTAATGGTTTTAAAAGGGCTCGGCTGTAACGTCCACAACGGGGGAATAAAAAGGCCTCCAGCTTTTTCTCCCCCCTTACACCCCCCCCCATCACCCTCTCAGATTGTTTCATCCTCCACAGATCAACGTTACAGACGTCCAAAATGAGCTGCTGAGAGAGAAAAATAAAAAACAACTCAACTCCTTATGAATTATTGGACAGTATAGTTTTAATAAAACCTATTCTCAGACTGAAAAATGTGTAATTAGGTTGTTATTGATGTTCTTCTCTGCTGGATAGAAAGCAGCTGAGACACTCATTCAGTCACTGCGTAGCTTTTGACCCAAGTATTACCTTAGTTTGAGATAAATGAAATGATTTTCCGATCAATATAAAAGCTGCCTTTCATAAAAAACTCAGCTTTGTAACCAAAGAGCTTCAGAGCCGCTGTAGGTACCAGATCTTCTCGGTGCCCCTCTACTCTAACTGTATTGCACCCGATTTCTTAAGGATCAAATCTCTTTTGGAGTCTCAACATATTATTACCCATACGTTCTATTATTTTACATTTCTTTGATGATCTAAAGTAGCCGAAAGTAGAAAACAATCATTTTCAGTCGTGAAGGAAAGTACTGCATTCTAAGTTCTGCTGGAGGTTTCTTCCTGTTCAAAGGGAGTTTTTCCTCTCCACTGTCGCTACATGCATGCTTATTGTGAGGGATTGCTGTAGAGTCAAAGAGTCGATGCAATCAGCTGGTTTTCCTTAGATAGAAAACTTTAAATCCATTTGACTGTCTGATCTGGTGAACTGTAAAGTGCCTTGAGATGACATGTGTTGTGAATCGGTGCTATAGAAATAAACTGCATTGAATTAAATAGCATAGCTCAGTCTTAATTCAATTTAATTCAGTTTATTTCTATAGCGTAAATTCACAACTTTTCCTGACCTGAATGAAAAATTTAAATTCCAGACTTTTAAACCCATATGAGCCACTTTTATTCAGGTTAACTTTTATAATCCCTGCCCCCTTTTTCTGTGCTGCAAAACAGTGCAGGAACAGGTCTGGTTCTGCTGGAGGTTTCTTTCTGTTAAAAGGGAGTTTTTCCTCTCCACTGTCGCTACAAGCATGCTTATTGTGAGGGATTGCTGAAGAGTCAATGAGTCGATGCAATCAGCTGGTTTTCCTTAGATAGAAAACTTTAAATCCTGTCTGATCTGGTGAACTGTAAAGTGCCTTGAGATGACATGTGGTGTGAATTGGAGCTATAGAAATAAACTGAATAGAATTAAATAGCATAGCTCAGTCTTAATTCACTTCAATTCAGTTTATTTCTATAGCATAAATTTAAAACACGTCAGCTAACCGTCTGAAAACTAAACAGTCTTCTATGAGGACTGGAAAGGAAGTGGTGGCCTTGTGGTTAGGGCACAGAGCTTGGAATCCTGAGGCTGTAAGTTTGAAACCCACTCTCACTCTTACAGTAATTTCAGAACGTTGGCCAATCCTGGCAGTTTCTCCTCTGATCCATGTTCTGCTAAAAGGAGTAATCTTTTCTTACATCTCTAAGTCCACTTCATATTGCCAGACTCTAACAGAATCATTGAATTTATTGTAACACAGACGTCTCTATCTGCTCCTTCATCTCCATCTTCCCCTTAAAAACACACAATCACAATTTCCTGGTCTCAATCCGAACCTGGATCCCAGCAGGTATGCATGCTGAGGCCATCTGACAGAGGGGGGCCCCTGGACTGGGGCCAAGGAGGGGAAAGCACAGATCTGAGCCGCGGCTCATTCATCAGCCCAACGACAGGCCTCCCTGCCTGGGAGAACATTAAAGCAAGCAAGGAAGGCGGGGGCTGGAAGCCTGATCCTGCATTATGCTACCGCTAAGCGCAACACAAGATGAAGACCCTGCTGTGATCATGTTAATGTGTTACTACCCAGGGCTTATTGACACTTAGGAGGAAGCTGCTCTTTCTTCACAGGAAAAAACACAATCATGCCTTTTTTTCCTTCCCTACTGATGATATAATTATGTTTTAGTAAAAGTCCAGCCTGTCTGACAGAACTTGGGTTGGAGGAGGTTTGCTGCTCTGATCTGGGGCAACCCTGCTGAAGGGAATCAGTGTAGTGTTTGCCACAAGAGGGGAGGGGGGGGGGCTGTTGGGCCAGAGCAGAGCCCATGTCCAATTAATTCACAAATAAAAGTGGGGCATCCCCAGCGCCCAGACATTACCCGCACTGACAAATTGGCAGCACAATCATATGCCGCACAACACAGTTTAATGAAGTCATTAAAGAACTATTAGGCGCGACTGGCGATCTGTCATGGCGAATTGCCACATGCAATAACTTGGGGGAGGTGGGGGGCTGGTTCTTGAGGTTTGTGCAAATGAATGAAATACGGTGTTGATTTCCTAATGTGTGTGTTTGTCAGCTTCGATGAATGCATCTTTTCAAAACGCATTAGGACAAGGCGAAGGCTAATGGAGCGACGTTCGTCCCAATCGTTTCTGTTTGTTTCATTTCTGTGATTAACGGGAGGCCGAGTGACACCCGTCCATCATTTCACGCCGACGCCGCATCTCAGCAGAACGTTTGCGTCTCTGTGCGACACAAACAGACAAAGGTGTGTGTGTGTGTGTGTGTGTGTGTGTGTGTGTGGGGGGGGGGGTGTTGTAATTCGCGTGAGGAAAATTAAAGCGCTGGCAGCTCGTCCATCACCCAGATTAAATTCAATGGAAAGATAAAAATGTCAATGTTTCTCCCCTCCTGCTCCTGCAGCTCTTGGCCCAGGGCCACCGTCAAGAGAGATGAACCCCCCCACCTCCACCACCACCTCCACCCACAGGCTCTCATATTCCTCCTACCCCCCCACTGCACTCTGTTTTCATTCTGTCTTCACTTCTCTCTACTATCTCTCCTCCTCAGCTGATGTTATCCCCACTTTCAGCTCTTCTCTATCATTCTGCGCTTCATCTTATTTTACCTTTATTACTTTGTTGGGTGAAGCCTTCCTGGAGGAAAATGTGGGCGCCTGGGTGATATTGGGAGTTTGGTGGTGTGTGTGTGTGGGGTGGGGGGGACTAGAACAAACACGGCTAAGGAAATGTGCGACCAGAAGACATTTATCAGAGGAAAAGCCAGAAATGTGCCGTTGGACTTCCTGTTTTTCTTTCTCCTCTGACTCTCTGAGAGCAAATCACTTCTATTCTCCCAGAGCATCAGGAAAGTAAAGAGAAGGCGGAGAATTAAGGGTGCAAAAGATGGTTGATCTTTAAAAAGCCTGAAGCCATGAACACCGAATGCGATTTTGCGTCCGATCCGACAGAATATCGTGTCGGAAGAGATCGTGGCGTTACGCAGTCACTGAAATTTGATGGGGAGGAAACTTGCGATACGATTTGCTGCAGGGTGCAGCTTTGCAACGTCTATTCGACTATGCAGCAATTCATCAGCAATTTCATGGGTCTGACAGGAAGAGAGACACAGTTACAAAGTAAAACACATCGGCTTTGGGGGAAAATACTGAATAAAATATTATGAGGAAAAGGTCAGTTTACATCATGTATATAGTAAGCGGAACAGACTGGTGCAAAAACAATGAAGGAAACATTAAAAACTAGAATATTTTACCCATGATAGGAGGACAGAAATGGATAAAATAGTGATCCTCTTTGAGCCTCACAAAAAAAACAACAACGGG